TTGCAAAATAAGCCGCACCAAACCAACACAGAATTTATTGGAAATAATAAGAAAACACTCCTGTGACCAGGCAGTATTCTAAATAGAAGTCCAAATTGTCTTTTTTATCCTGCTCTTATATGAATAAGCAGACCAAAGGAAAAAGTCAGTTACTCTTCTCAGTTCAAAGAAAACCAAGTATTTTGCATTACAAATGTTCCTCATACTCCAGTCTGGAGATAGGAAAGGCCTGCCAACTAACTTCTTTGTAAAAAAAACCTTTCTCCCAGGCAGAGGGAGCCCTTATCTCTCCATTCTTACTTACCCTAGTGTGCGCCTCAGAGGAATCTTTTTTCTGTATTTTTATTTTTAAGCTTAACCATATACATGATTTGAGTTAGCTTTCAACTTGGTATGTGCTATTTTCTTTTATCTGACTCTTTTACTTGACTTCTTACTTATAGCTAATTTAACTAAACTATTATGGTAATGTTTATTTGCTGGTTTTCTAAAAAGGCCAAACAGCTTTTTAGTAACATTATGAGCTTGGCTTTTTATAATTCTGAGGATAGCAGACTTGTGATCTTGAGACTTTTACTTCCTAAAATTATATTTGTTAAAACAATTGTGGGAGAAGACCACATTTGTTAAAATTATAACAAATTTTATTATACCAAATTATAACAATTTTAACATTTGTTCAAATTATAACAAATTATAACAACTTAATAGTTATGAGTTGACTTTACCTACAGATCTAGATGATAGTTCACTCAGTATGGCATTACTGACCTAACTCTATTTAATTCAATTTCCATTGAAGGATTTTACAAATTTTCTTAAATTCAGGAAATAAGGTAATATCACATTTTCCATTGTGAAAGTGCATTAGTAGTAAAATAAAGGGACTCCAAGAGATTGTTAAAGCTGCTAGGAAAAAAAATAAATAAATAAAGCTGCTAGAGTCTCCGTTTGTTTGTCCCTTATGTCTCACACAGGTGTGGTACTCTGAAGATGCAGCGGGGGAGTTTAAGCCTGGTGGAGTCAATGCCCAGGGTCCAGAGCAAAGGGACAACCAGGTATAGGACGGCCATGCCCCAGCATCCAGGCCTGGTTACCCCTGGAAAAGAATCCAAATCCCAGAGCTGTATGCTTGGGATTACTTGCAACTTGCAATCCCAAGTTGCATGCTTGAGGTTTTGGTCTGAAGCCATGGTAGAGAGGACCACACTGAGCTGCTCTGTAACTAGTCTGGGACAAGCTGAGTGAAAGAGGAATCAAGTCTGCTACAGTGGAGCTGACAAGAGAGAAGCAGCTTTAAGAGTGGTGTGGTTCCCCAAGGATGCTATCATAGCTGTTCCCAAGGCCCTCTGAGAGCATCGGGGCACCCTACAGATAGTAATGTAGGTAATGTAGGATGGGGGAAATGGGCATTGCAAGTCACCCTAGGGATTAGGAGTCTCTGGACCAGAGGAAAGGAAGGACAGGACCACAGATCCAGAAATCTAACTCTAAAGGGTGAGCCCAGAATTACTTTCCCATGAGGTTTTGGTGACTCTTTGTACTCAAGATCATCAAGTAGTAAACATTCTATCCTGTTTACTGCTGAGGTAATTCTCAGAGTAAGCTGTTCCCAGAACTCCCAGAGAAGAGTTAGTGAATAATTAGAGTGGTTGCCAAGGGAACAGGTTCCTCACCAACTGAAGCCAGTCACTGAGAACCTTCAAGAGTCCTGACTGATGATGACCAGGGAAGCAGAATTCCATGTAGGACTTTGGACAGATGGTGGGATTTGAGAACAAAGGAAGCTCCCCGACACAATCCTCAAAGCTAATAGGCCTGGCTGCCAGTCAGAGCTACAGGAGGAAGCTCACAACTTCTGAGAAGCATGGCCTGAGGAGCTTCCTGTGCTATTAACCAAACACTCAGAGAATTACAGATTTCCCCTTAGGAATAAAGCACACCAGAGTTAGGTTGTGCTGCCATTCCTTACAGCCATGGTTTAGCAGAAAGAGATATTTAATGTAGCCAAAGGGAGTGCATTCCAACCCCCCAGGAAAGCCCCAAACCATGGACTGTACCAAACACTATATGTACTTTTTCTCCTATACAAGGGGAAAGCCTGCCTGTGGTAAGATTTAATTTTTAGTGCCAGTAAGATTAATAATGATGATTAGAACAATTATAACAATACACTGTAATAAAAGTTATTTTAAACTTAGGAATCATTTATTTCTGGAGTCCTCCATTTGATGCTTTTGGGCTACTGTTGACTTCAGGTAACTGTAATTGTAGAAAGAAAAACTATACATGAGGGATTTCTGTATACTTAGGAAGCAACTTTTGTTTGGATTTGTTTTAAATATTTTTATTCTGAAACAATCTTAGACTTATAGAAAAGTTTCAAGCATAGTATTCATTTATTTTATCATCCCCAGCTCTGTCATTTATCCATCTATATAAAATCTTGGAGATAACGTCCCATTCCCCAACCCATTCAGTGACCAATGTATAAAATTTTTATTCAGGATATTATTCTCTTATAGAGTCACAGTACAAGGATCGAAATCACCAAAATAACACAGGTGCAGTACTATTAACTAATCAACAAACCCTATTGAAATTTGAACAATTTTATACTGCTCTACGTTTTAACCAAAGAAAGGAAAAATTCCTCCAGCTCTGGGATCCAATCCAGGTCTATATATTACACTTAGATGCCCTGTCCTTTTAGTTTCCTTTAATATGAAACAGTTCCTCAATCACACCTTTGTCTTTCATGACTTTAACATTTTTGAAGCATACAGACCATTTCTTCTGAAGAATGTCCCTCAGTTTGGGTTTAATTGATGTTTTCTCAAGATTCTAAGGCCAAGTTCTGTGTTGTGGGCAGAAATACATAAAACAATTTGTGTACTTCTTGGTATGCTGTATCAGGAAGCAAATGATGTCCCTTTGTCTAACAGGTGGTGATGTTTATGTTCATTCCTCAGCTAAGATGCATCTGCCCGCTTTCTCCACCATGAAATTCCTATTTTCCCTCTGCAGTTAATAAATGTCTTTGGGGGAGTTACTTTGACACTGTGTGTCTTGTTTCTCCTCACTCAATCATCTTTTCATCCACTGATGATTCTTACTGGAAACTACTTTAACTACAGTGTGTGGTAAATGGTGGTTTTCTAATTCCATAATCTCTTCAGCACTGGTTAGTTGGTACTCTACTACAAGGAAGAGCTTCTCCTCACTCATCCACCCAAATGAACTCATGGATTCTTATTTGATTATGTGGTTTATAATCTATTATGATCATTATTAATTTTAATGCTCAAATAGTCCCAGTGTTGGCCAGTAACAAAGCCTTTCAGCTGAGCTGCTGTGGTTTGTACACGTCCTCATCAGCCTTTGAGCAGTTCATTCCTTTCTAATGTAGAAATACGTCTGACCACAGAAATTAGCTATTTCTTCAAGAAGCCCTAATTCCTTTTATTGAAATATATTTTGAAACCAAGCTGTGAAGTATGTTCACACTCTGTGTATTTGAGTGTTCTTGCACATGTGTTTCCATTTAAAACAAAAATATAGTTAGGTTTAATTGTTTTATTTATAATCAATTTAGGGTTCTCTCTCTATGATTCTATATATTTATATTTTGAACATATGAAGTATTATTTTAAATGTCAAAACTATATACTCCCCTTGCCTCCTTTCTATCCTGTTCCTTTTTTTTTTTTTTTGAGACAGGATTTCACTATGTAGTCTAAGCTGCCCTAGAACCCACATCAATCCTCCTGCCTCAGCCCTCCCTCAGATTACAGGTGTGCACCACTGTTATGGCTGATACATTGTGTCAACTTGGGGAGTCTAGAAAGTGACTCAGCAGTTCTACATCCTGGGGTGCAAAGGACATGCCCTTCCTGCTCTAGGATGTTATTCATTGTATCAGTGTGAGAAGTTTAGAAGGTTAACTATGTGAATGCCGCCCCCTGGGCAGGGGTAGCCTTCTTACAGTGTAAGGGAGAGAAAGAGGCTGCTTGCTGCCATTCCCCCTTTGCTCTTGTTGCTTTGCTGTGTCTTCTGCCTGGGAGCCAACCAAGTATGGACTGAAACCTCCACAAACTGTGAGCCAAATAAACCTTTCCTTCCTTCATTTTGGGAGTTGGGTATTTTGTCTCAGCAACAAGAGAAAAGTAACTAAGACAACCACCTTGTCTGGCTTCTACCCTCTTCCTATCCCCCAAACCTTCACACCCCATTCCCAACCACCATGGCCACTCTTGCAGCCAATCTTAGTTTCTGGTTTATCTTTCTTATGTTTTATTTTGCAGAAATGAACAGACACATGTATATTTTCCCCTTATTTTCTACTGAAAATGTACATAGTACAGGTGCTATTTTTCTTTTTATCTAACAAAATACACTGGCAATCACTCTATACCATCAATTTAAGAGAAAAGGGATTTCAATATACTTTTAGTTGGCATTTACCTGAGAATGAGTTTAAATATCCTTTCATATGTCTAAGGTTATTATGCCTTTTATCTTTCCATTTGGAAAACTTCATTAAAGCTTTAACACTTTGTTAACAATTACATTTTCCACTCAATTTGTTAGTCAGATGCTAGAAGTTATACACTTTCTTAACAATTACTCCATCCTTTAATTTTTCATGATAAAATTGTATCATGACTATGCTTTAATTCTTGATGCACATATATTCACTGTGAAATTTTTGTTGTTGTTATTGTTGTTGTTGGGTTTCTTTGGTGCCAGGAATCAAACTCAGGGCCTGGCACTTGCCAGGCAGGTGCTGTGCCACTGAGCTACATCCCTGGCCCCTCACTGTGAAATTTTTACTAGATACTATACTTATGACTTGTATACTTTCAAAGCTCATTTTGAAATGTCTTAGTCAGTTTAATTCTCTGATAAATTACTGGTGTCTTTCCTGCCTGGTGCCTAAGGAAAACTCAGTGATTCCCAGATTCATTCCTAGAATCACTATGATGGTGCTAAAGAGAAAGTAGCTCTCTGGAGGAGGGACCCTTCCCTCTCTGCACCGTGGAGCCCCCTCTGCACCAAGGAGCCCCCTCTGCCAGCCTCCAAAACAGCACCAAATATTGGCAGCTCTGAACATTTCTTAACTGACCAACTGGGGACAGAGGAGGGTTTATCAAGTAAATAGCCATGAGATTCCTGAGATTAATTATGAACAGCCATGAGATTAATTTTCATCTGGAGCCCTTCTTTTGTACCTTGGTAAGAGATGGCTCACATTTTGCCCATAATGTTCATGGATAGTAGGGGGAAATAGATGAAATCAAGTCATTAACTGTTACAGCCTACTTAGAGGAAGTCAGAAAGACCTAGATTTTTCTGCCATTCATTGCACCATTCTTGCAAAGCTGAGATTAAATGAGGTACTACCTCTCCTCTTCAGCATATCTGGTATGGGAGAAATTGATCATCAAAACAGAACTGCTGTGGGGCATGGAAGGAGGAACCTGTTAGAGCTACTTGTCTTTTGCTGTTTTCTCTGAACAGTCCAAAAGGAGGAGGAGTTGGTGGCCCTGAGGAGCTACACTGCTGCAGGCATGAGGAGCATGCTTCCTGTCATGAAGAGCAGCCTTGCAGTCTGGGGCATCTCCAAGCAGGAGCCAGGAAGGAGGTTTGGGAGAGGTGACCACAGTAGCTGTCATGAAAGAAGGCTATACAGAGTTGGCAGAAATCAAAGATAAACTTCCATCTTCATGCTTTCGCACAGAACTGGCAGATGATGCTGAATATTTCAAGGACTTTCTAAGAATGACATTGATACATATCGTGATCTTTCAAAGGAAGTGAGGAAGATGCATCAGGGGAAGCTCCTTACCACGGCAGAACAGACGGCTTGACACATGCTGGGCTTCCTGTCCACTGCATGGCCTGCTGAACATGACAGTGAACACATACACTCACCTTCCACCCTACACCCTCTCCACTTGGAGAAGTGCTGGGGTAGGAGCCATTCCAGCTGCAAAAACCAGTGTCCCACACCCAGATTGCACCAAGCTCACAGTGCATTGGTCTGGCCCCAGGCTCCAAAGGTGTACTGTATTTCCCACACTTGCGCCATGCAGGTCTGCAGCACAAGCCCGTAGGCACCAGAGGGCTCCCTCCTAATCTCCAGGCACCTCTGTGTGTCCCTGTTGATGACAGCGCCTCCCTAGAGGGGAGAAGAGACAGAGTCAAGGTGCTGAAATGTATCCGGAACCAGTTCCTGCCTTTCCTCGTGAAGGCTTAACCAACATTCAGCAGAAAACTTATGGGCATTGGTGCAGTGCTGGAGTCAGGATTGAATCCTTGTTCCCCACATACAAACCACCTGGCCACAGGCAGATGACCTAACCTGTCCAAGTCTCAGTTTCCTCAGACAAGAAATGGGTTTAGAATTAATTTTGACGTTGAAGTTTGATGTACAAATTTAGTACCCAGCACCTCTAAGAAGGAAGGAGAAAGAGAAGAAGAGGAAGGAGGGTAGAACTAGGATTAACATTGTTTGGGGATTTTGTGGCAGACACATGGAAGCAGGGCAAGAAATCTGAGTTCAACTCTGCAGTCACCCCTTCTCACAGGGCAGAGGAGAAAGGGGCTTCCTTATCTGTTCCATGTGCTCCTCTGATTCCTCGAGCTCCTTCCTGTACCTTTGGCTCAGGATCTCACCATCTGTCCAAGTCACCACCTGTCTGGAGCCTTCCCTCTGCACATCACTCTGCATGCCTTCTCAGGCTGTCCCCTAGGAACTGGGCCGAGGTTACCCCTTTCCCTGCCCACCATCTGCTACCATCGAGTGGGAAACCCTGGCCACACTTAGCTCATAATCACCAAGGTTTTTAACACTCTGACCTCCAAGTCTGGGGCTCCTCTCTGTTCAACACTTCCCTGCCTCTCATTTCTTCCAATTGCAAAGTGAACCCCTACAAATTCAGCTGTCCTGGACTCCCTGGGCCCCCATTCCTGCCTCCTCAGGGCATCTGCATGAGTCCTAGGGCATTTCCTGTGCCACTCCACAGCACCCTTCTCTCGGCTGCTGCTTTCAACTACAGAGGTCCTAGCAGAGAACCCAGCTGAGCAAGCCTTGCTTACCAATGCCCACCGCAGCCTGGCCATAGGACTGGGCTTGCTACTCTTCTAGGTCATGCCTTGTCCCTCCATCCCACTCCTGAACACTCACCAAATGCCAAAAAGATCACACTTCTACCCCATCTGCATTTTCTCCTGAAAGCCATGAGCCACCCACAACTGCAGCGTCACAGTGATCTCAGTGGAGCCCCTCTGTGTAGCAGCCCCTCAATGCTCTGAGCCCAGTTGCCCTAGACATAAGACCCTTCTTCTGTCTGACATTTTCTCTCTTTAAGGACTCATTTGAATGGCTATGTAATATTCAGTAAGCAAAACACTGCAGTACTACTGGACATTTTAATATTTCCTAATTTGATACGGTGATAACAAGATTGGTCTACATGTTGAACTATTTCCTAAGTTAATATATTGTCCTAAAGGAGAATTAGTACCTTTAAAAGGGTCATAATTAGGGGTTTTGTTAGTATCAGGGCAAATTGCTGTTGGGCCTGGGCTCAACGTACCCCCAACAGCAGTGAACATTTTCAATGCCTCAGTGTCTGTGAACATTTTCAATACTTGACTACAGAACTGTCCTCCTCAAGCCCCTCAGAGCCTCTCTTTGTACTGAGTGTCCATTCCACCTTGACTTTATTCCAGCTATGTCACCACACCCAACGTTAGGCTCCTCCTCTCAAAGCTCACATGTCCCAGAGGGCCTCAGAGCTCTGCATCTCTCTGAACTGGGTCCCCTGGTCACAGGCACAGCTCCCTTACACTCCCAGGAGTCCAAAGCCTCTTGTGGCCAATCAAAATGCAGAACACTGAGGCAGGAAGTAAAAGGGATTAACTTGCCTGTTTGGGTTACTTTTCTCATTGTTGAGACAAAATATACAACTCGTAAAGTTAAAAGAGGAAAAATTTATTGTAGCTCAGTTTGTAACAGTGTCAGTCCAGAGTTGGCTTTAAGGCAGGGTAGCATGGCAGAGAAGCATCACAAAGGAGAAACAGTTCATGGTGGACAGAAGGCAGCAAAGCAGTAAAAAGGCAGCAAGTGATAAAAGCAGCCCTCTTTCTGTCCCTTATATTCTATCCAGGCTACATGCCCTTAGGGCAGGTAGCACTCAGACCCAGGAGGGCCTTCCCATTACCCACACCCAGAACTATGCCCGAACAATCAGTGAACTGTTTTAGTAATCTCACATCCTTAACCCTAGTATCACACACACTAGATCCACCTATGCCTGCATGAGGCTTTGGGGGCACATCTAGACATAAGCCATAAGATGGCCTCATATCTGTCTTAATTTTGGAAAACACCTTTGATATTTTCAGTAGAATGAATTTGTAAGTTGTGCCTACAAAATAGATTGAACACAAGTGGGATCAATGTCCAGCCAAAGTCATTTTCACACCTGAAAATATGTGACATAAGACAGGCGGGAAAGGATTACTCTGGAAAAACCAACTCTAACAAACTTAAAATCGGGTAATATGCCAAGAACTACCTGATCACCTTCCTCATTAATTTACAAAGTTCTTGACATAGTCTTCATGAAAAGGGACCCAGTCTGGACTTAAGAGTAGCAGGCAGTATGTCCCTAGATGTCCTGCAGTCCAGGTCTCATTCTCAGCCGCAATTGCTGTTCTGTTCACCAACTTCAGGCAGCTGAGGACGAAATCTCCCAAAATCCCCTGGGGAGAAAAGCTTCTGGATATTTGGGATGCATGGTTCTTTAGGATAAATAACATTTTAAAATCCCAAGAGATTTAAAATAAAATATAAATGCTAATGAAGTCGATCTTATAATATTTGTTAAAGACTCTGTGTGTATTTGCTATTTTTAAGTTTTTGTGTTTAAGAAAAATTGGCATCTTACAAAATAGACTGGTGATACCAGTTTTAAAATGTGTAATTGGATAATTAGATGTATGATTTCATGTTGAGGTTTTATTTTGTAAACACTTTTGAAATGTTTGAGAGATTTAAAAATCTTGAAATCAGTAGATTTAAAGTCAGATTCTTGATGTTCTTAAGAAAGGAAAGATAATATATTACATTTATAAGTAGCCCCCATAGTCATTGTTATGGTTTGTATCTAGATGTCCCTTCAAAGTCTCATGCACTCATGGATGAGGTTCCTGGGAGGTGGCTAAATCATGGGTGTGTGATGCTGGATTAGGGTATGTGATACTGGGCTTAAGGGTGTGTGATAATTAAATTAGTCTAGTGATTGGTTTAGCATAGTTCTGGGTATGGGAAGATCCACCCTGGTTGGGGGTGTCACTATCCAATAGGCTTGTAGGTTGAATGGAATAAAAGAGAAAGGAAGGTTGCGTGCTGCTGCTTCAGCACTGCCTGCCTATCCTGCCATGGACTGTTTCTCCTCTGTCATGCTGCCCTGCCTTTAGGTCAGCCAATTATGGACTCCACGGACTATGAGCTAAAATAAACCTTTCCTCTTTTAACTTATAGGTGTCAGATATTTTGTCTCAGCAACAAGAAATTACCTAAGACAATGGTTAAAGAAATTCAACTTATTAAATTGTAAAATTCCCTTATAAAAGTAATTGTTAAAACTTGCCAGGCATATAGATAAAGTAATAAGACTATTATGGATATCAAAAACTCACATTTAGCCTACCAGACTTACTGCATGCTCCATAAACTTAATTTAAAAAAAAACATGTGGACCCTGAACGTAAGCCAGTACCAGTGTGCTCAGAGACAGGAGTACGTGACTGGGGCAGATCATTATGTCCTTCACCAAATGTCAAGTCCACCAAAGTGGACTGAGAATACAGAAGCTTTCAGAGCAACCCCAACAAGAGGCACAGTCACGTGTAGTCACATGGTCAGCCAAGTCCCTCATACCATCGTCATACAAATCGTGAACTTTGCCAAATTTCCTCTACCTTCTCCTTCTTAGTATGAGGAGGAAGTGAAAGACAGGGCTTTGACCTTTATCCCAGTCAGATTTTAGCACAGTCTTATCACCATTAATAATGAAAACTCATGACAGTGGCTAATAGTGTCTAATATTTAACGGACATGCCTGTGTGCTGGGCACTATGCCACATGCTGTTATTGCTATCTCATTTAATCATCCCAACAGGTCTGTAAGTAGATATTATAATCTCCATTTAGAGATGAACACACTGAGCTTCAGAGAAGAGCAGGAACTTGCAAAAGGTGGCTGAGCTAGAATTTAAACCTAAGCTCCATCAAGCTATAACAGGCCCTAATATCTCCAAACTTAACCACCCTACCTTAGGAGATGGTGCATTTCACACTCACTTTCAGTTTATAGTCGTTTTCCCTACACATTGCCAGGAAAACTAACTTTCTTAAAACCCTATGAAACCTGAGGCTTTCTTATCATATTTGAATATATCTGTACTTAAAAGTCAGCATGGGCTGGGAATGTAGCTCAGCAATAGAATGTGAAAGACTCTGGGTTCAGTCCCTAGCACCAGAAAAAAATAACAACAACAAAAAGCATGAGACTCACCTGCTTAAAATCCCAATATATGTGCAGTTTATTCTGGGCTGCGTTAGAACACTTCTCCAAAGTAGGCTTCTCCCTGTGCCCTGGGTCGGTCAGGCAAAGGTCATCCCTGAGAACCTCTGCAACCAGTGGTCCTACATAGAACTCCCCAGTCAGGAGGTAGTAGACATTCTAAAAGAGAGCAAGGGATCTGCTGAGGGAAAGCCCAGCTGAAGCTGAAAAGCTGTAGACCTCGACAGTGGATTTGCAGGTAGGAAACCTCTCTTCAAGTTCCCAAGTGGACACCACCTGCTAGATGAACATGCACAAGAGGCTGTTTTTGTACCTCAGTTCCTCCAGCTGTTAAGCAGGAAGAACATCTATCAGGCATTCCTTAAAAGAGGCCTATGAGGGCAACATGCAAAAGAGGACAACAAATGTGATGATTCTTCTGGCTGCATCTCATATTTGGAGCTAGATCCCTCTACCCTGTGGAGGGAACTTCCAATCCCTCTCTCTGCTTCTGCTCTGCAAGAACAGTGTGGGCAGTTTCCCCCAAACACACTTCAGGGTATACAGGAGCAGGAGGGGGAAAGGGATGGACTGGAGGTGACTGTTAATGAAATACTACCCAGAGAGGGCACATAGCCAAGATGCCTGTCCTAGAAATGGAACTGTCTTGCTGTGACTTTTTGAATGAACCAAGAAGTGCTTCTTTATGAAGATTCCTCCCTTACCTGTTAGCCAGGATGCTCAGTCCCCACCCCCCATCACCCCAAACTGCATCTGGCAGAGATTTCCAGGCACTGAGCCTAAACAGACCTGGCCTGCTGGATGGGGAGGAGTGGAAGGTACCTGTGAACTGAACTCATGGCATGCATACATGATGGGGGTATTGCCCGGAACAGGTCCGCGATCCAGGCAGACACCTTTATCCAAGGAATTTTTCATCTGAAGGGAAAAAGCATGACAACACTGTTAGAAAGAGGCAGAAAAAGAGGACACTAAGCCTCCCTAAGCCCTGCAATTTCCTTGTACAGTAAGAACACAAAACCCACTAGCCTAGTCAGGCAGGCATGGTAGCACACACTAAAGTCTCAGCACTTGGGAGGCTCAAACAGGAAAGTCACAAGTTCCAGCCCAGCCTGGATGGTTTAACAAGACCTTACCTCACAATAAAGAATAACAAAAAAGGGTTAAAGATGTGGCTCTGTGTGACAGCCCTGGCTTCAATCTCAAGTACTGCAAAAAAATAGAAAGGAAAGAAGAGATGGAAAAAGAGAAGGAAGGAAGAGAAAAAAGAAAAAAGAAAATAAAAGGAAAGAAAAGAAATCACCAGCCAAAAGTAGAGCCTGTGATCCTGGCAGCATTTGCTATGCACTGGAAAACTCATAAATGCTTAGGGGAGATAGTGCTGTGATGTGGCTTCCTGTGCACATCACCACCTGGGCAGACAGAGAAACTGAGAAGTCACCAGGGGCTGCCGCTGGTCCAGGGACTAGAGGCAGAGGGAAGGGAAAGAAGCAGGAATTGAGGAGCAAGAAAGCAAAGGCTCAGGATAGAGAGGGGTAGAACAGGAATCCTGGGCAGTATGGGTTTGAGCTGGAAGGCATATAATCTGGATTTCGCTGTCTTTGACAACCTAAACTTTTAAAATCTGAAAATGCAATTTCATAATACATACTCTTCCATAGCCCACAATATTAAGGATAGGCTTCAGCGCTGGATAAACATTTTTCAGGTACCAGTCAAACGTTTTACATTTCAGGTTCTCCCGGAGTACCCTTTTGGAAGAGATGTCTCCATAATCAATCCCAGAGTTCTGAAGGAGAAAACAGAAAAGCACCATGAGTTTCTGCGCCTCGTTCCATGTTCCCTCATTAACTCCACCGAGAGTATGCAGACCATGAATGAAGGAATTGAGGATTATCCTGGTGGCCAGGAAGTAACCACCGTGTTTTATATTTTCAGAGAAAGTGGAAAAGCCTTGAACCCTAGGACTCTTCCACAGACATTTGCAAAGCCTGCAAGTGGGGGTCAATTCCAGTTTATCCCTTAGGGGTTTTTACAATGATATTTTCTTCAACAAGGCACATAATATTCCTCATGATGGTCCAAAAGGCTTTAAAAGGAATTCTAGCATCCAGAACTGGAGGCTGGAGGAGATTCCCTAGAAGTGATATTTGTGGGTAATCAAAGTGAAAAGATAAGAAAGAGGCAAATTAAGAGGGAAATGTAGAAACCACATGGGTATCTGCCCTTCACCCAGAACATTCCTTTGAGGTTCATTTCAGATTACCCTTTGCAGATTGTTCACTGGGTCAGGGACAGTTCCCTCTACAGATTGGTACAGTCACAAATATGACTCTGCAGAGGAAAGAAAAAGGAGAGTACATATTTTCTATCATACCTTGGTTTACTGGACACCAGAACAAAGTCTTCCCCATGTTTTCAAACAAAAAGCTAACTGTAGATTATTGGCATTTTGATAAGGAACTTTTATTTATGTTTTGTTTTGTTGCTTTTGTTTGCTTTGGTTTGGTTGGTTTATTTGTGTGGTACTGAGTTGGAACATGTGATCCTCATGCCTTAGCTTCTCAGAGGGCTGGGATTACAGGTGTGTGTCACCATGGGTGCCCAAAGGGAGGGCTTTGGTGATGATGAATTCTGAAGAAGTCTCAGGCATTTCTGTACACATTTAACTTCTCCACCCATGTGCTTCATGTTTAACCAGGCTCCATCTTGTTTCCAGACTGTCCCTTCTAGATCTATTCCATTGTCTTCATCACCCTGACTCTCTGGCTCTCTGGAAGCTACTTCTGAGATCCAGAGTGGTGGAAGGGGGGAGTTTGATGATGAGATGATTGTTCTCTGTATGCCAAATGCTCTTAAGCCCAGAGCCAGAGCAAGGGAAGTAGGTGGCAATATATCACCCCAAACTCAGGCAACCAGGGCAGCACATATGGACTCATCCAAGTGGATTCTCCTCATTCAAGTGTCTCCAATGAAATCACAGTACCTACCTCCACGATGCCACATGTTTCTGCCATGCTTGTATCATCTTAAAGCTGGGAATACCTGATATCCAATTGTTCCCCCAAAGAATCTCCCAGTGTGGGAGAAGGATGACAAATAGACTACCTTGGTTGAAGTGTCATCTCTACTACTTACTACCTGCACCTGTGCTACCTTTAACTAAACCCTTCCAACTCTCTGTGACTTGGCTTTCTTGTCTATGAATATATCCCACAGATATATCAAGGGGTTCATGAATTAATTTATAAAACAGTGTCTGGACTCCCAGAAGATGGTAGAATGGTGAGCACAGAGAAACAGCCCTTCTGGGATTTGTCATCTAGATGCTGAAATACAACAATGTGAGGAAGAGAAGGAAGAGGGAAGTGAGTGTCCACCATCCACAAGTATTTGAAACAAGAAATGGAGCGCACAGGTAGAGCAAAGAGAAGGACTAAAATACAGAGGAAGGAGATGGCAAGTGGCACTTTCTTCCTGAGCCCTGGCTCAAGACATGGGAGGGCAGCTTGAATCTGCACATGCATAGTGACAATTAGCAACTCCACAGGCCTCAGTGGAGAAATGCACCAGTGGAATGGACCACTGGACACTGCAGACTGCAGTGGCTAGTGAGTAATTCAGGTTCAGATGCACCCCAGGTAAGGGTGATTGGCCTGTTGCCATTTTGGAAAGGGGCAAACTGAACTCAGGACTCAAGGCAGCTGCAGGTTGGCTCCATCTAATGGTTCCCAGTGTCAAGGTGAGGTGTAGCCAAGTGCAAGCCAGCAACAGGTCAGGGAGTGGAGTTCAAACAAGCAGGGAGCCAAGTTCAAGACAGTAGAAGGCCCCTGGAATGTTGTGGGATGAACAACTCAGGTCCCAGCCTCACAGCTAGAAATAAGAATGAAGGAACTGAGGATTATCCTGGTGGCCAGGAAATAATCATTCTGTTTTGTATTTCCAGAGAAAGTGGAAAAGCCTTGAACCCTAGGACCTCTGCTCATTCCTGAACTTTAGTGGAACTAAAAGTGCAGGTTTGCTGGGATTATCCAACATCATGATTCTACTTCTGGCTTGCTAGGCTTAGTCAATACAGATCTGGGCTCCATCTGTCCCCCCTGTCTACCAATGACAGCACAGACATGTTCTGAAGTGGACATTTTTTTTTTTTTTTTGGCCCCTGTTCTTTTTTTTTTTTTGCTTTTTAAATTTTAAAAAAATTGAACTTTTAAATTAAAAATTTTTTTTTATCTTTTGCTGATTTATTTGTTTTTTATTTTGATTTTATACAGGTGTGACCATTGTTTCTAGCTTTTGTTTTGTTGTTTTGTTCTGTTGTTTCTGTTTTTTCCTTCTTTCTTTGCCTTCTGTCTTCTTCATCACTTCCCAAAGCTTGTGTAATCTTCCTTTGTCCTCAAGCCTTGCTTTTAATTTCTTTCTTTTGTTCTTTCTCCCTATTTTCCCCCTAACCTCTTTTAAATTTTCCCCTCTGAATGTAAAATCACAATATTGAGGGAATATTTATTGTATATGATTTTCTGGCTTGTTTTACATTTTGCTATATAACTACAAATATTGTTCATTTGATTAAAGGTGGCAAATTAATAGTTATCAGAGTTTCTCATTTTAGGTTGTGTTTGATGCTGTTGTTATTACTGACTGTATTATTCTAGCTGAGGTGACCTAATTGTTCTAATCAGTTGTTCTTCCTTGTATGCCAAGACCAAGGTTGCCAGAGAGTCATAAACAATATTATAAGCCAAAGCCAAAGAACCAAGGGCTAGGTCAAATAGGCAGCAACTTCCTATCCCAAATAAGTTGAAGAGGTAGGATCTTGCAATACACTCAAAACTCAAAAGCTAACTACACCTGAAAGATATCTCTAAGAAGTAGTCATTTCCTAACAGTCCTGGATACTATCAATAAAGATACCTACCATAAACAATTTATAAGCGTCAATGCAGGAATTAAACTAAAAAATAAAATGAAAAGACATGAAAGCAAGCTGCAACTCATGATTTCCAGCTCAGCAAAAACAAACCCAAGTGGCAATCAGGTGGAACAGTTTGAAAACCATCCATCTGAACTCTCTGAAATGGTAACAGTGGAAGAAACAAAGCACATGAATAAGTCTCTAGAAAGAATCAAATCAGAAATAATTTCTCAGATAATTTCAGAGGTGGTGACCATAATGAAGGGTATGATTAGTGAACCTAGAGTAGATACAGATTTTTAAAAAAATAAAAGAGCTTAGGAGCATGATAGAAACCATGAATGCCCAACATAGGAAAGAAATGGAATCCACAAAACAGATTCAATCTGATATTAGAAAGTCTATTGAAAGTATACAAAGCAGAATGAATCAATATGAGGACAGAATATCAGATACACAAGACAGGATTGTGGTTAGCAATAATGAAAAGAAAGATTTCTCTAAAATAGCAAAGGGGGCTGGGGATATGGCTCAGTGGCACAAGTGCCTGTCTGCCAAGCACAAGGTCCTGAGTTCAATTCTCAGTACCAAATAAATAAATAA